TTTTTTTTTTGGTGAGCGGATGAGTTGCAGATGGACAGCAACCAAAGCCGTGGGGGGTTAACCAACGGGCCTAGGTCAGGTGGTACACCCATGAACTGTAGAGGATGACAGCCATAATTCAGCAACAGGTCTGTATTTGGACCTGAGAAATGGTCCAAATACAGACCTGAGTTCGGATCCAGATGGCACCAGATGAACGAAATTGCTGAGAATTACTCAGGGCCGATCAGTTTCACGAGGTGATATCTCACCGCCGTCGCCCTTTCTTTTTCTTCTTTAAAAAAAAAATGAAAGCCTTGGGGGGTTTGGTTGCTTACGATGGGGTGTGAACCTGAGGTTGGAATCTTCCGTCTGGACTGGGTGAGTGATAGCCTGCTTTGATTTGCGCCACTGGTACCCACCCTTGAGGAGAGTGGTTGGTGGTACCCACCACCTTGGGAGGGGTATCAGTTTTGGTGGAGTCGTGGAATTGATGATCAACCCCAACTGGGGTTAAGGTGGGGTTGTCATTTCCAATATCATCGTCGGGTTTAGGGGACGCTGCAAATCAATCAATCAAACCATACATCCATCCATCCATCCATCAATAAATCAATCAAATCAATCGAATCAAATCCAATCAATCAACTAAATCCAATCAAATCATATCAATCGAATCCATCGAATCCATCGAGTCATCAAATCCATCAAATCAATCAGTCAATCAATCAATCAATCCATCAATCCATCAATCCATCAATCGATCAATCGGACTGTAGAGGGCTCCGCCTCAGCCCCTTGATGAGATAAGTCAGCCGGCGAAAATCGGATGAAAGGGACCGTAAGGCTTCTATGTCTCCTGATGACTCGGTGAAAGTCCGACGAAACGGTCTGTATGTAGACATATATGCGTCTCCATACAGACTGCAAAATTTCAGCTTCCTGATGATGTCGCCGGGGAAACTCCGCCGAAACTGCCCGTCACAGTCCCCTCTCTTTCTGTGCCTACGTTTCATCGTAGGCAGTTCTCTCTCACTATATGTAGACATATAAAGACATATAAAGACATATAAATATATGTATGGGCGGCCTTGTACGCAAGAGAAGGTTCTGAACAGGGGGAGTTGTAAGGAAGAAGATCCAAAAACGATTTTTTTTTCCTTGTTTTCTTTTTCTTTTTCCGCTTTTGCGCTCTGATATTCATGTGACGATATACATGTAGTCAAACAGAGCTGCCTACGGTAAGCCGTAGGCATACGGTAAACCGTAGGGGCTGTGACAAACTGTTTCGTCGGGAATATACATAGATATATTTATCTACAGATATGTATAGAATATATATATATATAGAGAGAGAGAGAGAGACACCAAACGTGCAAAACAAATGAATATCCCGGTAGAACATGGCAAGATACACCGTCATTCGCAGGAATGACCTTATACCCTGACAAAGGGCCTCCTTCTCTCCACCATTAATTCTGAGAATAGAAAAAAACAAGGCGCATGTACCTTTCCACATTCTAGCTCAAGATACACTCGCCCTTTTATTAGACCTTCGGTGAGCAGTAAATACAGTAATAATACGGTAATCAGTGCAGCGAGGTCCAAAGATGTAAAAGGGCGAATGTATCTTCACCTAAAAGGTGGAAAGATACACTGCCCACGTGGCGCAAGGAAGAGAGCTACAATCTCCAAGGAGAGGGGGAGGAGGAGGAATAGAGTGCAGACCTAGGCTACCAGAGTGGCCCGGGTTCACTTGCCCGGCCGGGCCAATAAAAATAAAAAATATATATTTTAAAATTTTATTTTTTATTCTAAATTTGGTGAAGAATTTCGATGTGACCCTGAGGCAAACGTTGTTCAGATCATGTTTCTGCATAACATAGTTTTTTTCCGGATTTTGTGGATTTCTTTTTATTTATTTTTTTTGCTGGGACCTTCCCTGGTCCTTGCACGGGCTGGCCACCCGGGACCCGGGCGGCCCGGCTGGTAGCCTACTAGGTGCAGACTGATATTTTTTTATTTTTATTTTATCTTTTTAAAGATTGCAGACTTTCCAATCATACACACTCCAGTAAAAAAAAACACAAATAAAGCCTTCATTAGGCTTTATCAAAACAAAAAAAAACAAAAACGTGTCTTTAAAAAATATAAAAAATCGTACAGCCCGTCCACGTAGCAGCTCGATGGTACACACTCGTGTAACCGTTAATAGGGCCTCGCTCCACCACTCACCACCTGCACAAAAAAAAAAAAAAAATACATGGCGGTGCACCTGCCCATGTTCTAGCGGAAGATTCATTTTAATTTTGCACATTTGGTGCGTAGTGGAGCGAGCCCCATAGTAGCCAGCGCGCCAGTTGAGGTATTGTCATGGAACCTTCCTTTTTTCTATTTCCTTTTTGGGTATCATTGTGGAACTGACCGGCCCTTTAGTAAACGTTTTCGATCTGATAAAGGCGGGATTCGAACTTATTTCCTTTTTAGGTATAATAATTGTACAACTGACCAGCCCCAGGGTTAACGTTTTCGATCTGATTGAGGCGGGATTCGAGCTTAGGTCTGCTTAATAATAAAATAATAATGGAAAAAAAAAATCTTATCAGCAGCTTAGGGGTCAACCTGCCAGCTACATGGGCTGGGTAATCTTCTCTTTTTTAATGGAAAAAATAAATAAATAAAATAATAATGATAATAAAGTTGTAATGTAACATAAATTTACTAATATAAAAATAAAATAATAATAATTTTAATTTTTTGTTATTTTTTATTTTTTTTTACGAGGTTTTTCGAGGAAGTATCTCATCTTAGGTGAGTCTCTTTGAGTGTTCAGCATTGAATAGAGCGGACGTGTCTTTCACTTTCTATAATTAACACATCATTCAGGGCATACTCATTCACACTATGGGCATTCGCGGATGTATCTGCCCACAATTACGGCCAGCCATGCATGTATCTGGCTGAGATCACGTCCAGAGATCAGTCGAGAAAGTTTGTGAGTGAATACGCCCTCATGGCATTGCGTGTATCTGGCTCAACTCAAACCACCTCCGAGTGCTCGCC